GATATTTAATATAATATAATATAATATAATATAATATAATATAATATAATATAATGAATTAACCCAAACATTATTTTTCAAAGTTACTAACTTACAGGAATTACATCAACATCTGGTATTCTTGAGTCACTAAGAACAGGAACTAATGACATAATCAAACTAATTAACTGGATAAAAAAGTGAAACCGACTGGTTCCCAGGTCTTAATCGGATCCTAACTGAACAGGAATGTGGCACTTAAAACCCACATTGCTAGATTCTGCATAAAACCAAGGTCCTAGACTCCTTGGTGATTAAAGAATGCCATTCGTAATAGGTATAGATTCAGATCTCATCTAAAGGACAGAGCCTATTAAAGGTTATGTTCTTGAACGGGTAACACAGTTATTTGAGAGGCTTGGGAGTGATCCAGGAATCTCCCAGTAACATGCCCTGTATCACCAAACTTCATACAAAAGTGGCTATTTTACAAAATCTGTTCTGTGAAAAAAGGTTTTAAGAGGTCAAAGATTTTGAGGTGAAGATCAGACTGAAAGAAAAAGCGGACAGTTTAGGAACCATGGGTAGTGGCCTTGTCCTGGGCTCTAATTGAGGGCAAAGTTAGCTCACAATATTGCAAAAATAGTTTCTACAGGTTTTAAGAGTTTCTACAGTTTGTTGCAGGTGTTTTAGTTTCTACACCTGGATTAAAAGAATGATAAATACTCTTGAAACAAATTACTTACACACAAAGAAATTTTCACTCATGTTTTCAGGAACGTAGGCCAATTCAGAAAGCATTTATAATCAATTAGAAAATCCAATACTTTATATCAATAACAGGAAGAAAACCACTCAGCATTGAACATAAACACAAGCAATCGTTATGACAATTTCTTCAATTTGCTCTTATTGTGATTGTAACTCATTTCATAACTTATTGATTTCATTTGTTTTTAGAGCAAACAAAGCAAAATGTCCTTGGGAATAGTGAAATTAGAAACAAGCTTTACAAATTTATTATGAATAAGATATACTTCATAAATGCAGCTCTATGGAGTTTTTAAAGCCTTAAATGTTCACAGTGAAGTGTTGTGAGGAATATAAAAACTGGATCATACTGAAAATACAGCAGATTAATACCATTGTTATCATCACAGATTGGGCCAACACAATGAAACAAAGAATGTCAGTACCTGGAGATGGAGTTGTCCTGTGAGCCTGCTCCATTTTTGGCATAGTTACCTTAAAAAGAGAGGGATAACAGAGAAAATATATGGAACTAACAAACAAAAATCCACTTCAAAGTAGCAAGGACTGTTCAAGTCAATCAAATGAATCCCGACATTACATCCTGAAACCCATTCCATCAGACATAACCCAATCACTTCCAAGAGCCATATGCTGTTTTTCTCATCATTCATTACACTGCATCTGAAAATCACTCAGCTTGATAAGCTCTACACTCTTCTGTCTCTCTAGGAGAGGGGCCCCAGCAGGGCTTTGTGTCCTCTGGCTTTGCTCGAACATGAGCACTCAATTAAACAATTAACATGATTATTTTCTCAATTAGACATATGGGATTTTCTTAAGGTATTTTACAGTTCATTACACAAGACATTCACGACATTTAAAGTACAGTCACTTATAGAAGTTCAAGCAGGGAGCTGCGTCAGCATGCGCAGGCTGCAAAGGAACAAGTAAAGGTTTATTCCCTCCTGAAAAGAGAAGAAAAGAAACACAACTTTTCGGCTGTGGAGCCTTCTTCACACCTTTAGTTGTTCCTTCACAGTCTCCTGTAGATAACCTCTGGGTTACAAGTGTTACAAATATGTTCCTAATTAAATAAAACACAATGTGACTGAGAACATGAACAAAAACCAGAGGGCAGCAGAGCCTCCAGGAACTGAGTCTGAGAGCCCTGCCCTAGGATGTCTAGCTGTCTCAAATAGTAGTGTAGGTCTACAGAGAGAATATCATTTGACTAAAGACTGTTAAATCATAATTTAGCTGTCCATAGCAAATTATCTGTACTTGATGTGAAAATTAGGACTGCAGATTATGTAACATAAATTAATAAAAGTTTATTCTGCACATTAAAAAACATGATGGTTGTTTTACTACAAAATAGATGACTATATCAGCCATGCCTGGGTTGGAAAAACAGCAACTTAAAAAAACAGCTCAGATTCCATTAATTACACAGGAGGAACTGTGAGACGAAGCTGAATTTAGAGACGATGGTAGGATCTCGGTAATAGATTTTAAGCTTTCTACTGGGAACGGTCAAAATTAAAAAAAATAAGCTACTAAGAAGGAAGACAAATTCACTCAACCATCCCAATTAAGGCTGCCACTTTAAAGCTTTCACACTATCTAATGAGAAGGGTAATGAACCACCACAGGTGAAAAATATTCTTCGATAAAACAAAGCAGTTTACAAGTGTTTCTGTGGTCAATCACTAAAAGACGTGTACAGATATCCTATGCTAAAACTGCAGGCATTTCATGCTCATTATGTGAAATGAGTACATTTAACACTTTAGGTGGAATTTTTATTGCATTGTATTGAATGCAAGTGGAATTTCACAATCATCTATTTAAGATGACCATTAAAAAAATCAGTGAAAGTTAAGAAATAACACAAGCCCTATTTGTGGAAACTGAAAGCAAGACTTATGTAAAATATCTAAAAACTGTTTATAGTACATTCTGTTATGTTAGGTTGGAAAGGAGCAGGTGTAAATGCTTTTTCATTTAGGGGAAATTAAGTAACAATTTTTATGTTAAAACAGTGATTTAATTAAAATTGAGCTTCAGTAACAGGTCAGTGTTAGTCTTGATGGTCAACTCGGCATTTTCTCTCCCAGAAACCTTTTTTACTTTTATCAATTTCAGAGTCATGAAGAGGCAAGCTGAAGGCTGCCGGTCTGCATTGCTTGTTGGGTATTGGCTTTAGGCTGCTTGAGAAACCAGCCGGCTGACTTGTGGGCAAGACAGTGTTAAGAGCACAATTTCTCATTTGGACATCAATCTGCCCATTAGCGGAAGGCAACAACACTATAAATAGTCCAACTAAAACATTTAAAACTTCAAATCAGTTGCTCAGCAGGGGATGAATCAAGCTGCAGTATGTGCTGGAAAATCATTTCGGCTTTTTCTCGCCTCCAGTCTTTCAGTCTCTCAAGGGGCTCACTGTTTCATAAATAAGAATACAGCACGTTGCAAAGCTCCTCAAAGATGAATTACTTCAAGCAACGTATATAAATGCCCATGTAAAAGAGCCAGTTGTGCAATCAAGCATATCACTCTTCCCTACATCATGGCATTCATAATAAATAAGACTTTAGAAAAACTGAGAAACTGGATTTTTTTTAAAAAAGCAAATAATGTTTCAAATTGACCCGATCCCAACAAATATAATGGATTTCAGTAGGAAAAAAATATTTTAAATCCCTTACCTTCTGAACTGCCCTCTCTTGAACTGTAATGTTCTCTGAAATAAGAAAAGGATTCTTTCACACAAATATTTATTTTTGGATAATTTCAGAATTAACACCTAGTAAAACCTGTAGAAACACTTCGCAGACAGACATAGAATGTTTAATTTATGACTAAACAGTCTGCAGCCCTTGGTAATTCTAATAGTTAAGGGTACCCTAATACAAGGAAGCAAAGCTAAAAGAATTACTTGTTTCTATTGTTATTTATTTATGATGCCTGTATTTCTAGGCATTGCCAATCATGTTCAGGGACTGTTGGAAATTCAATAACAGTACCAATATTGCTAGTAATGCTAAGCCAGTGTGAGCTGAAGGACAATTATTTCATAATGAACATAATTAATATGGGATTACTTAGCAATTTCCTTGTGGAGGTGATGTTCTTTCCAAAGCCCCTGTGATTATCAGACAGTGTATCAACAGGTAAAGATATACAGTACTCATTAAGGCAATAATGCACTTCTGCAAGGATCTGGACCACAGTTCTATAACTAACTGAATAGCTGATCTCAACCTCAATAACATTTTATACAGGCCTGAGCGACCGAGCCATAACAACAATGTGTATTCAACAGCGATTCCAGCTGTGCAGCTTTGCACTGACCTTCTGTCGGCTGTGGCTCGCTTAGGAAACCAGCAGACAACACCCCAACAGCAGAGCAGTCCGTCGTGCTGCTTCTCTCGGACGTGGGGGGAGCCTTCTGGAGAGCAACAGGAAAATGGAAGCTTGAGAACTCGATCATGAACTTAAAGATTCGTTTAGACCACAGTGACCACAGTCTGTTGTTGAAGGAGCAGTTTTTATCAACAGACATTTTTTCCCAGTTATATAGTGTTGCAGATTCAACTTTCTGTCTTTCCTGCTAAAGAGGCTGTAAGACACAAAACTGATATACAGTTATATCAGATTTACAGAGGTCCAACAGAAATAAAGGTTCAGATCTGTGCTCCAAACAGCTGTGGCAACACCTGTATCCATCTAATTTTCAATAGTCTTTCCAGCAGTAATTTGTGATGAAGAGTCAATATAGAAAGTAATCTGACAACAAAGCAAGAACATCACATGGGAAACTAATATACTAAAATTAAATGTAATATTTTCTAACATTCTCTTATTGCAATTGGTCAGAAGGCAGAAGGACATTCCCCACAACATTTTGGTGAATCCAGTTGAGACTAGAGCTTCTGGTCTAATCTTGTTTAAAAAGATTCTTGTCTTAATCTTGACATTTCATTTCTATCCATTTGTCTTTTAGAAATTAATTTATTCATAAAGTAGATGTGCAATTCATTGTTTCTCACGCTTTCTCTAACAGCACTTGAAGACGTGCCCCATTTTAATTATGTTTTGCTGCATCACTCCATCTGCCTCTTGGCAGTAATGTATAAACAACCCTATCCTTCCTGACACACTCTGAAACAACATTATGAATAAATGGTAGCAGTCAGACACTGCATCAAGCAACATATGTTCTCACTTCACAACTGCCAATACCTCTTCTTATTTTGTCATTTAGAATCTCTTTGGCTTTTAATTGCAATTACCAGAAAGTAGAAAGATGCATACAGTATATGACTCAAGATTTTCATGGTGCGATTACTAATGTCAAGATAATCAAATTATTTAATGTTGTGCAGGTTTCATAACTTCGGGTGTTTAGACCTTTTGATTTCTCTTCCAGCTTAGAGGCTTATTGATCTGCTAATTACAGTAACTGATCTACCAAAACACTGAAAAGCAGATTAATCGATTGGTTATCAAGGCAGCACTTCATTAGCTCTGCACAACACTCAGAGGCCTATTTGTAAGGCAAATGCAATTCTGATCTATGCCATCTTCTGTTAGCATCTCTAAATTCTCCAACACATACTTTTATGCCAAAGAACAACCTGCATTGAAATATTTTTTTTTTTACTCTTTAAAGACTGTTTCCATTTACACTGCTGAATATAGTCATATGATTTCATATGACTTTGGTGCAACTAACATTCTTCTGTTGAAGATTCACTAAAGCAGAACAGAAAATACAGGCAATGAAGATTATAACACTCTTTCTCCACCTTCTGAAAAGCATCATAAGTGTATTGTGAAAGGCTGAAACATTTCCCAGTAGGCCTTATAACACCAGTGCTCCGAGTAACTTGTAATATATTCTTCCTAACCATAGTAGCTATTATCATCATAGCTAATCTTTGGCCAGATGGAAGCAGGGATTAGAGAACTGCACAACCCCATCAAAACAGAAGGGAGTTTAATTGTTTAAAGAGCAGATCCTAGGAAAGCAATAACACTGGCATTCGAGCTAAAGACCATAAGGTCACAAATAACTGGAAGGCATACGGTCCATGACTTGACTGGTAAAGGGTGACCTTCACTGAAAAAACAACAACTTTACACCAGTGAAAACTACTGCTTTTTCTTTACTAGACAGAGCAAATACTTCACAGAATGTCTTTTGTGATCAATGTTAAAGGCAATCCTAAACCAATCTGTAAAACAATTGATTTCTTCTTATGTGTAAAACATGAAAGATAAACACTTGTTATTACATGGCTGATCAATGTCAGCTAAGCTCCCATCCACTGTTCATGTCACTGAGTGTATGTGAGACACATACTGTTGCTATTCTTTCCCATCAATGATTAAAAATCGAGGAAAGCAAAGACCCTTCCACATTTTTAAAGAAAGAAAAGGCGGTCAAATCTTACTACTTACTGCTAAAGAGTTACATCTGTATTTATTTACAAATGGTGGTTCCAAAAAAGGCCGTGATCATTAAAAACGTTTTAACACCGCCTAGTACATCTATATTACACAATTCAATGGCAAACATATTTATAGATCATGCATTGTTTCAGAGAAGAAAAAAATAACACCAAATCTAATCCTTCCATCCATTTTCTAACCACTCTATCCAATACAGCGTCACAGGGGAGCCAGAGCCTGTCCCAGCAAGCAATGAAAGCAAAGCAGGAAACATCCTGGACAGGCTTCCAGTCCATCTCAGGGCACCAACTCTAGTCATTTAATATTGAGAACAATTATCAATGGATGACACTTGCTTGCCTTTATTTATTGCTTTTCATCCCAAAGGACACAAGAGAAGACTCACATGAGCGGTGCTCAGCAGGGATTATACAAGTGCAAGAACAGGTACAGAGTGAGAATTAACCAGAGGGCTGTTCTGAGACGTGCCATGGCACCTCGGTTTAAGGTCTCCTCTAAAGGATGGAACCTCCTACAGCACTGTGCACCCCATCACCATACCAGGACAATGGCTTCTGGAATTTCTGATCAGAAGAGAAGAGTGCCACAACAGCAGCGACCTAAGGCTTCTTTGATGAGATGTCTTTAAACTCTGTCTTTAAACTCTGGTGATAAACTGCACCACCGCAAAAGGTGGGATTTGTCACATAAAATGTAAACAGCAAAAACCGACCTTTTATCCATTTGAAACATCACAAAAAAACAAAGAAGAGATTTTCTCGTCAATAAACAACTCTCATAACACCACAATAATAAGATCATGTCCCAATCATTCTGCTTTATATTAATATAAAACATACACACAGATTTAAATTTGCAAAGAAAGCCTATGTATAATAAAAAGCAGAAGTCAATTTCACATGTGGGGATACGCTTGCTGTTACAATACGAGTTCCAATTAGCTGTATGGATGCAGATGTTATTTTCAACAGGCACCTATTCCCAGTCATTCGCAACCTGAACATGTGGTGTATACTTTAATAATTGCCTAGCTTTGCGTGTATGTACTGTACATGGTCTCCTTGGAAATACAAAGCCTAATAATAGCACATCTCTAACTCTAGGAAGGTGAAGGAAGCTACCTTGGAAACCTCCTGACACTGGTCAATCAGCAAACAGAAGCCACCCTAGTTAGAACTATGTAAATTGTTATGTTTCTATGCATAATGTTTGTTAAAATATCATATAATATGCAGTAGAACAGCTGTATGTCACATCAGGGAAAAATCCTGCGTGAAATTTGACACGTGACAAATACAAATTGATCTGTATCTAAGTCTGTATAGTTCAGTCATTTCTTCTGACATATAAGACCAATTTTGTTTATGATGGTGGATACATAGTTTTGCAACTGTACACATTCACTAAGCAATGGCTGAAGCTACATCCGAGTTAGTAGATGTGCAGACTTTGTGTAACTAACTGAACATGTACAAGTAAATTCACGTACAGTATGCAACAGCACTGAAAGAAATCCCAGGGATTAATGAATGAGAACTTTTTCAAAAGCATCAGTCCCAAAGAAAAGAACGATGGTGTGGCGGCCCTTGGTGCCTTCTTGTGCCCTGTGCGTGCCCTGCCCAGGTCTGTGCATGGTCTTGCCAGGTGCACCACTTTCCTCCCACCTTCCACAGAAATGCTGGCTAGGTTTATTTGCATCTCTAAAAAGTGCCAAAGTGTGCATACCCTGAGACAGATCCTGTTATATCCACCTCATATATCCACCATATAAATGGCTGACCCTGCGCTCTGACCCCCAGCTTCTCTCTCCCCGTCTAGTGTGCCTGTGTGTCCCCAGAGCAAGCTGGGGTATGCGAAAAGACAAATTCCTAATGCAAGAAATTGTATATGGCCAATAAAGTGATCTAATCTAATCTAATCTCACACCCTTTCATTCTGGGATAATTTTGGGGGTTGTCACAAACTTTACCACGTATAAGTGACTTTAGGACAAAGGATGGCTCCATCACAAGATTGGAGAAATTACTGTTCTGTTGGGCTGAATGTCCATGACGTAGAAAAAGGAATTATCAACCCTGCCCACTGTTGTTAAATGACAAGCATGGAAATTAAATAAATGCAGTTCAGTGCAATCTGTATTAACCACACAGGATATTTTACCATCCAAATCCATGCAGAGGTTAATTCTCTGCTGGGGATTCCCACCAATAATGATAACAATAGTTGCTAAATTTTGAGATCATCTATTTAAAAAAAGGTGAAGGAGGAGACTCAACTTGTTTTCCAAAATGTTGTATTAATCCACCCAAAGACAGGCACAAGTCCTTTCAATATTTCCTTAAAAACGCCTCTAAATTACAGGAATGCAATAACCACCTGTCAGAGACAAAGGCTGCTTTGTCATGGTTAATACACAAGTCAAGCTCCTTACTGCAGGTGTAATTTTGAATTCCACATACCATAAATGTTTTTGAAGTAGTTTTTGCAAAACCTCTCATCATTTTAATTTTTTTTGCATTCATCTAAACTTAGTTATGCTACTTTTTATTAATCAAATTAATTTCTGCAGTTCTGCATTATATAACCATCTATTGGGTTACTCCCTGAAGATTTCAGGTATTCAGCTAAGTTTCTAAATTATCAGCTGTATTCACTCCCGTATTAATAGCATTTGCAAATTATACAAGCAATGAAGAAAATTAAATAAATTTGATTGGTACCTTAAAGCCTGCAAAAGCTTTAAAACACTGAGTACAGCATGCTCAAACAATAAGATCAGCTGCATTATATCAGTCACACCTAGAGACATGCATCCAGCTAGAACATAACATCACAAAAGAGCTATATTTCAGGGGTTTATTGCCAAAATATTGAAGGTGTAGCGCCACCTTTTGGTTAATGAAAGAATCCACCTAAGGGCATTTAAAAATTAATGTGAAATTAAGATATCTCACTCTCAAATAATCAGGCTTAAATTTAGGAAGTTCGATTCTTATCATGTTCTGACACAAAATAAGAAAAATATGCATAAGCAATGAAAAGGAATAAACAGAACCTACAATACAGGTAGGATAATAATAAACATTAAAATAAATGTTGCTTACAACTGTAACAATTTCACTAAATTATTATCAGCAAAAAGCTTTATGTAACAGGTGCACTAATTAGTTGTTGAAAAGACATGAGATGAGGAAGCTGATCAACAGGGCAGATCGACAGAGGGGTTTTCTGTGAAAGTCACAGGCAAGTAGCAACATGTGAGACCCCTGGCAGAGGTCACACAAGCTACACATCTGTGACACTTGCTGTGCACCAGGTTGGAGATGCTGTCTTGTTGAATTCTGTCCCATTGCTCTCATGAGTCTGGGCCAGCTGGTTCCTCTTCACTGCTTTCTGAGCCCTAGGTGCCGCAAAAATGTCTCAGCTAATCCCACAAATCATCAAGGGGGCTCAGCCTGGCAGGTTGGACATCCACAACATAACTGACATATTCTCATCTCACAAGAAAGCCACAAAGGGACACAAGCGACAAAAGGATATGTACTGTCCTGTTTTAATGTTATCATGTCAGGAGAAGCCCATAGGAAGGGTAGCAGATGAGGTCCCAGGACTTGATCAAAACAGAGCCAGGCAGTCAGGCTGCAATCAATCACTACAGCTGAAATCTGTATTGACAAATCACTACAGCCCTGAACACTGCTCTTGATCCCCACCATCGCTTTGTCTACTCTGCACAAGAACTAGTGCATCATTCTGCTTGTCTGCAACACTCGCTGACATCCATCCACCAGCATGGTCTACAAAAAACATGACTCTTCTCTAAAGACGCCACTGCCTTTGAGTCCATCTGAGGTGCTGTTCCAACACAGCAGTAACACAAAGCCATTGGTGGCACTGCTGTGTTGACAAAGGCAAAAAAAAAATGACAAAGGCAAAGCTGATCTCTTGATAAACGAGGAAAACTGGTTCGCTTCTGTGTTTTTCTTGTTTTGCACCTGGCTTGTCATTAAACTGGTGAAATCACCACATCATCTGAGCTTGATCAGCTCTCTCACTGATGAGTTAATATACTGCTTATGAAACAGGCAAAGTCACTTGAATACATCGCGGTCAGTCATCAATGATGAAGTAATCGAAAAGTTACCCAAACATTCAAGCAACATCCAAAACTCTTGATGTTTCAAACGTTACAAACACTTTATTAATAAAGTTAAAAATAATAATAAGTTCATTCTGAGTCTCAATATACAAATAAAATGGAAATACCTTTTTGAGCGGAACAGCATAAACAGCATCTTGAATTGGGCCCTTATCCTCCATTTCTATAGAGTGGTACACATGTCCTTCATCAGAGTCTGAATGCACCTCATTTTCTGCATTTTCCTCTTCTTCTTCATAGTCTTCATCCGTGTGTGTGGGAGAGGGCAAGCGGGGTCTACCATCCATTGACTCATTCCACCTGTTCCTAAGGACAGTATGGCAACAACACAATGCTATAAAAACCATGTCCTTCAAAATCTGCACTTACTGTAAAACAATGTTTATCACCAAATCATAATTCAGAAATTAAATGTTGATTCAGTACTGTGTGTACTAATATATATTAAAAGGCATAATGAAACAAACAGCTTGTCATGGTTAAAGGATGAAATAAATGAACCTGTTTAGGAATTTACAGCCCAAGCTCTGCTGGGCACATTTTCATTAAACATCACCTTATCTAGTTGAGAAACGCTTACAAAGGCGGCTCCGTCTCATGTGTTTGCCATATTTTAATGTTGTTGGAAAATAGAGAAATGCAAATTCTACCTTTAAAATAAAACTAATGTTCACTTCCACAGATAAAATATGACCACCTAATATCCCAATCCGCAAATAAAAATAAAATAAAAAAGCAGGTCGTCCATTTCTTCTTTTGCCTCAATATTGTCCAGATGGGTTTATATCAAGGCACAATTTTCTAGTGCCACAACAGGACAAACAACTAGAATCAACACCGATTAGATCAGTATTTTCAGTAAAGTGTGAGTTCCATCGTTCTGGTTAGCAGAGGGCGACTTTGTTACCCCGTCAGCTCAGCAGTAGTAGCATAGGGGTCCACGGTGCTCCTGTTCTCGGAGTAGGAGCAGTCACTCTCCGAGTAGGATCTCTGCCGGAGAGGCGGAATGGCCACTGTGCGCCCTGTTAGTGTTGAAGCCAAAATGGCAGCTGCCAGAGCAGACCTAAAAATGGATTCAAATGAGGGACAAACACAGAGCGTTGTGTCAAAGAGTGTAGATAAGATTCTTAGAAATTAAACCCATCATAAGCTAATTTTAGAACTACTACGATAGTGTGCTCAGACACATTGTGCACTAGAATTCAAAGAACCTTAGGCCCTGAACCTTCTTAGACCATGAGGATTCTGAGGCTTTTCCAGCCAACATGCTCAGATTGAGCCAGGACAAATTTCGTGAGGGGATGTTGAGCTGGGACAGTTTTCTTAACTCATGATCCAGACTGAAACAACATATTGTTTCTACGTCCATTAGAGTCTTCTACCCTTCAGCCACTGAAAACTTAATTTTGACCATGTAAGGTGAAACCTTCAGACATGATTTCTCCTGTTATTTAGTGACTGAATATTTAAATATCCAGATGAGTGCCATTGGATAATGACTTTCCAGGAAAGGAATCGGCCTTTGATTACTCATTGTGGAATGGATAACAAGGATACTGCAGTTATGAAATGATCAATTAAAATAATTCACAAGCTGACCTTTAAACATTTAACATTCCAAATTGTTTGTGTGCAAGTAACACAATAAAACAAAACCGGACAGCCACAATTACTGTGAAATGTAAGGATGACATAATGAACTGCTTTTACTGTCTTTTATTTTGGGAAACTTACATGGATTGCAAAGCCCCAGTGATAATGAAAACTAAATGGAAACAGGACAGCATTTAAATACACAACAAACAAAAAAAAGTGATAAAACGTCAAACAGATACCTGGGTCTTTCTGGAGAGGGGTATGGACTGCGAGGGGGAGGGGTACGGGGGACTGCAGGTCTAGGACCAATAGTGGCAGCAGGGATCAAGCCATGAGCTATGTGTTTCTAAACAGACCATGAAGAACAGTGTTAGAGACAGGCAGATGAACACACGGCTGAAATCAGAACAAAATAATGCCATCAAAGCAAATGAGTTGGACATTAGGGGAATGAGGGGTGATCAGGGTGTGAGTTAGTGTAATCAGGTGTGAACCAACTACTTCTAAAGCAAAGCATCTGCATCTACATTGCGAATTCACACTTCTCCCATCTGGGAGACGCCTCTGTGCCCCCGGGTGTAAAACGAACAGACTCAGGAAATCTTTCATTCCCACTGCAATTACACTCTTCAACAATGCAAAGTAACTACCTTGGCTCTTGTTTCTTATCTCCTTTAACACTACTGGATTCACTTCCCTTTTGGTGATGTTTATTTGTCAATGTGTTGTGTTTGACTATGCTGTAAAACAAATTTCCCCTAGGGGACAATAAAGCTTGAATTGAATAGGTACGGTACGCTACTGTTTGTAGACCATCCGAGCCAGACGAAAAGTAATTTTCTGTGCTTGTATGTGTAAGCAGCAATAATGAATCCAGATGGACACAAAAAATGCATATCTAAAACAACGCTGATTCCAATTTTTACATACACAAGAATTAAGATAACATGTTCATACGTGTAACCTGCATGTTTACACCACTAAACACTGTTCATCGCCATCTTCTGACCAGTATATTAGCCCGAGCTATAAGAACCGGTAACGAGAGGCCAGAGGAATGATTCCGACATCACAATCAAATCAGCCGATTCAATCTGGAAATTTACGACCAAATATCTCATCCTTCCCTCTCACAACCGTAGTAAATCAGACAATGAAACGACACGAGATACTAAACTCTTGGATATTCAGAGAAATCTAAGAGAACTGTAACCAAATATGCATCGAAAGCGTCACTGTGTTGCAAACGGTTCATCATCTACGTGTGTTACAACAGTACAGCGAAGAAAATCCTTTGAAACGCCACGTAGAAAAATAATGGAGTAATTCATAACAGACTAATTAAAAAAAACAACAACATGTGTACAGGCAAGTCAAAGAAAAAAAACTGAGAAAAACATTGCGTAATGACGAAATCTTTGAAACAGAATTGTACATTCATATTCAGGTACACTACTTACAAATGCCATTTTGTCGCTTCTCCTAAAGCTAAATTTGGACATATTTGCAAAGTTAACTACTACAAGGCTTGGAGCCGAAATTTCGCCTTAGCTAGCTCTTCTGTTTGCAGAATAGTCGGAGGAGAACAATCAGATGGAATTGAAGATTTTGCTAGCAGCAACAAATTAAAAAATGAATAAAAACAAGTAACTTCTAAGGAATAGCAGTTCAACATTGCTGTAACTAGACGCTTTCTCGCTCCACACCACCCTCTTGCAACGCTCAACGTGATTGGCTGGGAGCACTTCAAGGGCCCAATCACAGCTCAGTTTTAATCCTCTTAGCAACGCCGTCCGTTTCTGGCCTCAGCGTTTTCTGCTTTGAAACGACAGAGCTCGTCTTTGATTGGCTTAACCTGCTCTCCCAGTAATAGGTCAAAGCGTCTGTCGAGTGTTTTATTTCTTTAAAGGGGGGACACAAAAGGGCTTGGAGTTTAGAAAGAATTCAAAGCTGCGTAAGAGAAATGAGTAAATGCTTTAACAGTACCGAATTACATGCAAGTCTGATTCACAAGAACATCAATTCACTTTGATGTTTCTGGGGGGAGCTCATATCCACGCTGCTGTTTCCGGGCGGGTTCAGCCAATCGGTGTTTTTTTACTTCGGGGTTTTTGAAGCTCCGACGTCAACAAGCTGCCGTATTTACCCACGTTTACACGGTTCAAACGAAGATCGTGAAGGGACGTTGTAAAAGGTGATATAGCGTAAGACATCCGTGCTCGGAGTTGGGAAGGGGCCCGTCTCGCAAGTTATTCAGGATGAATTACTCAGTTTCCGCTTTGGCGAAGTATAACTCCAGCACATTGAGCTTTTTCAGACATTTTGTGTAAGGGACGTGTGATAATATAGTTATTGTGGGTCCACACTGAATGATTAGTATTTTCAAAGAGCGCAGTTATACACTAAGGAATGCATGCATTGTTTTGACCGAGCAGACACGGAAATCCCTGAGGATTTTGTATTGGGGACATGAACCCCTCGATACAGAATCTAGGATATGTGCCTTAAGTTCTTGAGGATTTCCTCCGCATTTAGCTGTGTTAGCTGGAGGTTTAATGCGAGTCTTCACGTATTAAGGCAGCTAAAACGCCACTTCCCACATCCAGCAGCGTCAAGGATCTCGCCTTGCACATATGATTGCATGATCTGAAAGAGCGGGCTGTGGGAGATTCGGATACACACATTAGTGTATCGTTGCCTTTGGTAGCGTGTTAAGTGTCGCGTTGGTTTGCAGGGAGAAGGGGCCTGATGGCGGCACCGATGGAGGGCACTCCAGTGCGGATAGGAGCAGCGCCCCCCTACGGCCATGTGATCGTCAACGAGAGGTGGAGGGGCTCTGCCATCGTGCAGGGCTTTCAGGGTGAGCCGCGCAAAACAACGCCGTGCACTTTTGTAGTTGTATATTATCTGTCTTTTACGTGCATTCTGCCCAGTCCGTAAAAAATAGAGTTGAACGCCGACTTCTAATTGCTTACAGTGATGGCCATCCTCATAACTTCCCGTGTCAGCAGAAACCACCAGACCGCTTTTAAGCGCTTCCAGATTTTGCCGTTAGGGGGTCTCCTTGATCTTCGTGCACTCCTTGCTTCTGTGCAGTAAAAGTTAAAACAACTCGTTATGCGGTTAAAAAGCATAGAATATCAAGCAATCAGTCAGTAATCCATAATAACTTCTGATGACATCTCCTCGCCTAAAGCAGTATTATAAATACTATTCATAATCCCCTTCTCTCCTTTGCTGACGTCTTTTTTATGTCGTTGAGTTCAGGAAAGTTGAAAGCAATCTTTGAAGAGGGGCTGGGCCTGGTGGACTTCCACCTGTCTGACCACAGCTGTGTGCTGTACGTGTCCGAAAGTGGCCTGGTGGCAGGAAATGGCTACAGGAGGAAGCTTTTCCAGTTTAGAAAAGTAAGGGGACGCCCAAGAGCTTGCATGCGAAGCCTGTTGGATTCGAGTGCTGGTGAAGGTCAACCACAAAGTCTGTGGAGACCTGATGTGACCAAGACACACCTGTGCTAAGCCTTCAAGTCAAGTAGTTTCAGCAACACTCCCTTCAAAGCTACACTGGGCTGCCAGAAAAGGGTTATTCAAAGCAGTCGATAGACAGAAGTGTGCGAGTAATTAACAAGTTAATATACTCCTTACTTTTCCAACTAACATCAGCTTACAGGCACACAGTTATTACCATAAAGACAAGACATTGTGTTTTTTTTTATTTGACGTTTCTGTCAGCTGGAGATTTGGGGAATTGCAGCTGGATGTTGGTTGCCTGTTCTGTGTTCTGGTTTCTTCAAGGCCAGCAAGCTTCACGGGATTATAGTTGTGGAGAAGACGCGGCTGAGTGAGCAGTATTTCCCAGCCGTTCAGAAGTTCGTGGTGTTCGAACTGGGGCTGACCCTGCTTCCTGTTGCCAGCCAGTCTGAAGCCTCCCAGCTCATTGCCCAGCTTGTAAGTTCTAATCTTTGCTAATACGGTGAGCCAAGGTTTTAGCATACAGTGGCCCTGAATGGTGAGAACTGGACTACACTGGGTTCATTTTTTAGGCTTTGTAAGCAGGCCAGTCCCAGCAAGGAGATTATGATAATTCTTGCAGTGCAGACTGATCTAAATAAGGAAAGTATGTTCGTGTAACTGTGTGCCAAGTGTCACGGGAGCATGTAAAAACCGGAGCGCATTGTTGGGGCTCAGCCTTTTGTGTGTGACATGGAGTACTTGATGGTGTTTGACTGCACGCAGTGGTGTGTATTTGGACCTGACTGGAATTCTTAACATTTGTGACAAAATCCTTTCACTTGTGCATGGCGTGGTGTCATAGCATATAGTTACTGCTTCACACCTCTTGGATCCTGAGTTTGATTCTGGCCTGGTGCACTTTCTGTACGGATTGTCCATGATCTCTAGTCTAGCTTAATCTGTCCTCTCTGTATTGTCATTCTGTCTAAGGCGTATCCTGCCTTGTGCCCACTGTCAGCTGGGATTAATCACTGCGAACCTGTATTGACCTACGTGCCTACTGAAAATATCTAGATGCTTTTGCTTGCCCAGCATAACCAGTAGATTTAACATGGATTTAATGAAATAGGAGTGAATGGAGTTAATAACGAATCCCAGTGCAGCTGAGCTCTGAGTGACATTGGGATGTGTCCCCTGTAGGTCCACGATGAGAGTAAGGAGGAGAGTCGGAACCCTTTCCTGAGGAAGAAGGCAGCCAAGCTGTGCGAGCCTGTGGTCCTGGCCCTGGTTCAGCAGATCCCTGGTGTGGGCAGGGTGAAAGCTCTGGCCCTGCTCAGACACTTCCCCAGCATTCACCAGCTGAGCAACGCCACGGCGCAGCAGCTGGAGGCCGCCGTGGGCGCAGCGGCGGCGCAGAGCGTCCGGGGGTTTTTCCACACGAGCCTGGCCCCTCCCCGGTGACGGCGAAACAGGGTCTTCCCTTTCTCTTGTGAAGAGGTCTCGGTGC